AACAACATATTTTCTGGTTTAAATCTCTGATCAGGGGGTAACTCTAACAGAACAAAAAACTGAGGCCAAATAGAAAATGATGTGCTTTCAAAGAGTTGAATGCCATCTGTGTACCACATCATAGATAGATTATTAACATCAGACAAAAAACCCTTTAAAGCATCCTGATATACTCCACCGTCTATAATATCTTCTATGCCATTCTCATTAATTTTGGACCGAGTCTGGCGGTACTTCAGTGCTTCTACAAAATCTGGCCGCTCATAGAGTTTTTGTAGTTGATCAGCCAATGAGAAATGGACGAAAAAATGCACTTTCCTTTTAGGGTTTTTGCACTGATCACACAAATCTTCAGCAGACACCCTGGCCCTCCAGCATATGTTGCAGTAATAGGACAGTTCAAAGGGAGACTTTAAATAATCTAAGTGTTCGAATAGTTTGTCAGTTCTCTTCACTAGATTATTTTCAGCTGGACAGTGGATATCTATGAGTGCTAATAACTGCCCAAGACCTACACCTGTCAACTTCTGCGCCTGGGCAAAAGTAAGAATAGACATGATACTTTCATGTACTGATAGGCGACTGCCTGGGTAGATTCTGTCACTTCCGGTAGTTGCTGAATCAATTGGTTCATTTGGGATGTCATCTGCACTATCTTCGGGTTGAATAAAGTGGGCATGTTTGGTGATAAAATCTTGGTCTTGCACATAATTCTCAGTATGGCACTGAACAAACTGGCCACCTTCATCCCCCATGCCACTGAACCCTAAAATAAAAGCACAATAGAAATTAATTGAGACATAGTAATAAATTGTTGTTATAGCTTTCAGCACTCTAAAATTAATCATTTAAATTTACCATCACATTTAGTCACGCACCTTTGCTAAGAAATTCCTTGAATGATGGGAACAGTGTAGAGAGCATATCATGAGTGTCTTGCAACTCTGGAAGAACAGCTTGAGATAAAGCTGAAAACAACAATATAATTAGGAAACCTTTAAAGTATGTGAAAACTTTAAGTAAATAAAGCTACAAGACACACACCTGGTTCGACTGCTGTCACCTGGGGACATTGCTCAGTTGACAAAAATAATTCATCCTGGGTAAGGTTGTGCTCTGTAAGGATTTCAGAAGATTAAAAATGTTAGTTATAAATTCACAACTCTAAAATACGATCAAAAACTGGGGAAAAGGTCATTAAAAAAAACAAACTCACCTGTGCACGGTGTAACAGTTTGAGTAGGAAGCTGCTTTGCTCTTTTACCATAAGAGGTGGTCGGTGTGCTAGTGACATCCAAGCATGTAGGTGCAGATTCACACTTCTTACTCTGGAAATTTGCTTTTGATGGTTCAAATGTTAAGGCCTTAAATTCCCCTGTTTTTTAAAAAAACGTACAAATTAAAATTTTGACACTAATGCTGTTTACTTATCCTATTTTTAAATGAACTACTTGTTATGTCATGACACTAATTCGTAGAATAGAAAACTTACCAGAAAGAAATGATTTGGTGCTAAAATCTGATGATAGATGAGGGAAACCTTCTGCCTGAAAGCCTGGCTGAGGGGGAATGTCCAGGACTGGAATATCCACGACTGGAATACTGGGGGGCTGGGCTCTGTCTAGCTCCACACCGTCGGATTCCGTATCCGCCCTTTGCTCATCACTGGAAATACAAAGAATATCAACATTTGCTGTCAGACGATACCAGAACATGGAGCAGATGTTAGGTTAGGTTGACTCGAGAGCATAGCTAGTAAGGGCGTGAAACAAAATTTGGTATGCTGACTTCGTAAATACAAGTGTAAGGAAGGCAGCAAAGTGCGACGAAACAAAACTTTCAGTCAACACTCAGAATGATGGCGAAAAAACTTGTTTTTCTGCGAGATTATGTCATTTGAAAGCCAGCCCGAGCCGGCCTTTCCAACCAACCCTCGCTTTCAACTTGGTTTTTACAAAGTACTAAAACTTACCGAACAGTCGTCTCTGAAGCTCGCTTCTGTCCTCGTCTGAGGTCATCACCATGATGCATTTTCGCGAAACGTTTGTTATTTTTTATTAAAAATTAAGATTTAGCAGAAGTTTTATGATTACGACACAATCAGGTCTAATCAGGTTCAGGCAGGTACAATCGCACCAACCACACACCACGCAGCGTGCGTGCAACCACGGCTAGTAGCCACAGGAACCTCAACCCATATCTCCGTAAAGAAAAACATTTTAATAAATTATTTTAAATCGGCTCAAGGACTACAGGTGGATATTTCCTATGCAAATGTAAGGTAAGTCTGACTCTTTTATTCTTCGTGTTGGCACCATGTATGTATGGTCCGGAAATACAGCAGACCCTGTTTACATTTGAAGTTCATTTCATTTCCTATGCAAACTACTGTGTCGATGGCGTAGAACTTGTGTAGGTAATATTTCGGCGCTTACTGAAAAATCGTTAAACATCGTCATTTTTGTAGTTTCTCAAGATAGTCCGCGTACCTTGCTTGATTGGAATTCATGCTAAATCGTAAATTATCACTGTAAAGTAATCCGTTTTACACATAGTTTTTGCTCGCCCTAGAATGGCACCTAAACGTGGTTTACGTGGGACGTTCTTTTTGGGGTTCCACAAAAAGCCCCACCCTGCTGCCTATGTGTATCGACAAGATGTGATTGATGGCGGAATACCCAAAAATGGATTGACAGTCGGGAGCACGGTGAACATCCGACCGGGCCGGCAACGTACCACGACAAGTGTCGTCGTGCTTGACGTAGGTGAGCTGCGTTGCCATTAAAATACACAAACCTCTTAAAAAGTGTGAATTGTGAAAAAAATTCAGGCTGACAATAACTTGTGCTGGTCGCGAAATTTTAACTATTCATTGATTATGTTTTAGTAGATGAATAAACGTAATACATTCCTTTTTCAGGTACCAAAGTGATGCTCGATCGTCTGAAGGTGGACAGTAAAGGCGCCGTGTATAAGCCAGGTGACGTTCTGCCGCCAGATGTGGTGGGAACACCCCACTATGAGAAGCAAAAGGAAAAGGCGAACTCCTTGGAGGCCCTACGAGAGAGGCACCTTCAATTAGTTGCCCAGGGTATTGCTAGTGAAGGTAACAGCAACAAAGAATAATATAGTGTGTATTGTTTTAAAAAATTTAGTGAATTTATTCTATTTATTTTACTGTCCTTTTGTTGCAGACCAAACACCTGTGGTACCCCCCAAGGCTGTGGTGAAGCGACTACCCAAACGGCTCAAAACTGATGAGATGGTGGCCCTCCAAAATAAACTCGACAATTTACCATGTTTTTCACAGCAGCCTGGTGATGTAAGTAAAAGCTCAATATTGAGCCAGAATTTTTAAGTTGATTGTTTCTTTGGTATTAGTCATTTGATCAGAATTTATTCCCATTAAGTAATACAATAAAATAATTTTCTTTTTCTTTTGTAAGTCACTGATGATTTGCCTTTTATTTCAGATTCCTCTGCTTACTGGCTCTACAGTCTACTTAAATGGAGGTTCTCTAAACTTTCTAAAGGGGGACCTGGCTGGGAATCCAACATCCCTCTTCCGAAAAATTTTAGACTTGTGTCTGGGAGACTTGGCAGGGGATCCAGGGCTGTGTGCCACTGCTAGTGGTGCAAAACAGAGAGGAAAAGTGATGGTGAAAGCTTCCATCTCCGAGGGTGCCTATGGTAGATACCCCAAAATATCTAACCTAATAAAATTAATACAAATTTTCTCATTGATTAATTTAATTTTTTTCTAGGATATTGTACTCTTAACTGCTGTGTAAGCTGTGATTTTGAGCCATCTTACGTCTTAAGAACGTATCTAACCAAACGGCAGGGACAACTGAAAAGTGGGTATTCTAGTTTAATTTTTATTAGTTGAGGGGAACAGGACTGAAAATAGTGTCTCTTTGATGGGCAAGTGGGAAATGTGGGTTGATTTTTTTAAAGATTACTCCAAATTAAGAAAAAGCATTGCCTGAAGTCTGTATCTTGAACGGATCAAAAGTTATAGGCCTATGATTCTTCAAGGCTCTACCA